AGAGAGAGAGAGACTCCGAGAGACAGGTTCCCAATGCAACCCGAATTAGTTGAGGCCAATGACTTTTTGCTAGGGACATTTTATATTTTATCCAGTTATCCTTGAACCACTGACATCAAGTTTCGATGTCACAACGTCATGCCCATCTACCTTACAGCTCGAATCTATCTATCTATATAATATATTATATATATAATATATATATATATATACATTGTACTATGCATTTAGACACAGTCTTGTGGATATACAAACACAAGTGCCATTTTACATACTTTATCTACCACCATCACATAAACCATATACCATACCACACTACATGGGAACTATTTAAACGATGTCTAAGACGACTATTGAACTGTGAAACCTGCCAACCCTGGACCGGGTGAGTATCAATGCAAGCCCCTTCTATTCGGGTGAACATGCGATGTTGGGTGTACCGTGAACGTACTATGTAGTTAGCTGCTAGCCATTATCAACTATCAGCAATCAATGCAAGCAACGACGACGATAGCGGTAACGCAAAATAGAGCAAATGCTGTGATGGGTACACAACCGTACACACACACACACACCCACACACACTCACGTCTCAAGTATCGCATCATTCCACCCATTTGATACTAAATAGAAAGAAGTAATAGTTGTGAACGACGCTGAGTTACTATAAACTATAGACAGGCAATAGGTGAACGTTACATGGAGTATCAAGTATTTTCCTACCGTATCATCATCATCATACACAGCCAGACTCATTTTACACACATTGCGCAGTGCAACAGTACATAAACATCTTACTATTGCTGCTGCTGTTACTCCTTCTACCCCACAACTGCCTTTTTGTTGTTGCTGTTGCTGCTGCTGCTGCTGTAGTTGTTGTTGCTGCTACTGCTGCTACATACTGCTGCGACGATTGCCGTTGCTGCTGCTACAGCTGCCGCCACCACAACCGACGATGACGATGAATGTGACAATAATGTCAGTACTGTTATTGCTGTTGCTGCTGATGCCAATACTGTTGCTGCTGCTGTTGCCCCCGCCACGGTTGCTGCTAGCAATGTTATCACTGCAACAAATCTTACTCATGTAGTACAGCCTTGGTCCATGCCAGCCAAGCTGTAGGCTGTATATAACAGTAATTCTATATGTTCCATGCTGCAAATTTAAAATGTGTGAAATGTGTAAAATCCTAAACAGAACAGAATTATACTTGGCTGTGTATAACCCCTGAACAAGTAGTAATGAAGTGATGTCAGTGTCGTAAAAATGCACTTCTAATTGCATTTATACATAATCTTCCACGAAAAAGCAAAAAAAATTCCCGGCAGTGCTTTAAAAAACAAAATTATGCACAAAACGTTCCCAAGAGGCAGGCGTCAATTTTTAGCCCACCCTCAAAAGGGAAAGAGTGCCATCATTTACTGCACATACGTACTTTGACCCATAATTAATTCATTTAGTGTTATCATTTCTCTAAGTGGTTGTTATAAATTAGTTGATTAGAACCATTAGCAATACAAGTGCAAAGTAAACAATTATCCCCAATACTAGTAGTATGTATATCAAGAGTACATAATAGATACAGTACATAAGAAGAGTACATAATAGAGATCTCTATTATGTACTCTTGATGTATATTCATTACCTCCGCCAAGGGGTTGGCAGGAGGTTATGTTTTCACCGGCGTGTGTTTATTCGGCGTGTGTTTGTTGGTTTGTGGGTTTGTTTGTGTACAGCCTAACTGAAAAAGTTATGGACGGATTGTCATAAAATTTTCAGGATAGGTCAGAAATGGACTAACTTAGAATTTATGAGATTTTGGTGGTGATCCGAATCCAATTAATTCATTAATTAATAAAATTTTCAGGATAGGTCAGAAATGGGGTAACTTACAATTGATTACATTTTGGTGGTGATCCCGATCCAATTAATTAATAAAATTTTCAGGATAGGTCAGAAATAGGATAGCTTAGAATTGATTACATTTTGGTGGTGATCCGGATGCAATTAATTATTTAATTAATTAATTTTTCACAGAGCTGTCTTGGCAGAGGTCTGCGCTCTCTGAGTGCTCTAGTTCCTTGATATATTCAAAATAAAAAAGTTTGCTGAATTTGAACACTGCACATAGGCGAAGCTGTTCCGATCTGAAGTGATAAATCATTGATGGTCACACAGAAGCAATGGCAGCAAAGAGCGATTTTAAACTATATCTGCGGTAAAAACGATCAAGTTTAACTATGCGTTGTTGCTGTGTTTGCCTGAGAATGCAGCTGCCTCGTTGAACTAGGCAGATGTTCAGGTCCGCCACGAAATGCTCCCACAATTTACATATGACAGTGTTTCCCCTGCATTGACACCAGCGAGGCAGCCCGCCTTGCTCAAATTCACAGCCACCAAACAGAAAATTGTCCAAAACAATGCCTCGCTGATGAAAATCACTGTTCTTCCATATAACAGTGCTTAATTATTATTATGCACCAAAATAGCTTAGAATGCACCAAATAGCATCATTTTTTCAAAAATTTCACCCTGGACCCTCCTAGCTGGGCGATCACCTGCAGTGCTCGCTTTGCTACTGACCTCGAAACGCGCAAACACATCAAAAGAAATTACCACGTGACCTCACAGACCTTTTTGGCTAGGGAAAACACTGATTAACGGGGTTAATTGTTTCATTAAGGTCCACATGGCCACAGATTTCGTTGGCCACATTTATTTAGTAGTTTAGAGTACATTCTGGCACGTGACTTGAGCCGATTGCATAGCTACAGACTTCACTAGACTGTTATGCTTGCAATGGCACCAATCCTTTTTACTTTACTGTACTTTACTCAATTTACTTTACCTCTGCAACTTTTAAAATTTGAAATTTGAAATAAAAATTTTTTGTACACTTTCAAATGTTGTGGAGAATGATAAATACCTGCAGGAACACAAATCTTTGCACAATGAGTCGTGTACTCTACATAGTAGCAGAAAATTACAGCTGTAATATAAACCTAATTAAAACTAGCTATATATATATTGGGCTCCTAAATTACTGTATGGTATAGCCATCTATACAAGCAGTCTATATAGCCATCTGTATAGCCATAGCCAGAGTAAGACAGCACATGATTTTAGGCCCAGTTTATTCTTACTGTTTAACAGTGAAGGTGCCAGACACACTTCCACATGACAGTCAGGAACTCCTAATGGAGCGTTAGCCGGAAATCTTGACAAGCAAGTACATACATCACAGATAAAAGAATTTATCATATATATATCACAGTCAAACACAATTGGCCTACTTGAATGTGGCACATACATTTTTAGGTTTGCTATCTGTTCTTAACCTTAGCAGTGCATGTACTATGCAGTTGTACCCCAAAATAGAACTAGCTGAACTACTTGTTGTTATGGCGTGCATAATTTATTTTGATATGGCTTGTGCGATGGATGATAGCCCAACCTAAACATTTGTGGTGAGGTAATACATTTTTGTATGACTGGCTATAATTTAGATGAACGTTTGATGTGGTAGCTAGAGTGGTTTTAACAAACCATTTACTTGAGTACGGTTTACAGCCTACAGATATCTAACATCAAAATATAAACTATTCGAAATTACATACAAAATGCACGATAGAGTACAATTTCCTGTATATATTAATATCTCAGCTTTTTTCAAATTGAATTAGAATGAGGTATTTTACGCTAGACCCTTTACATCTAAGTATTAATCTAAAATTTACATTTTATCAGTTCATATCATGCTTACTATTATTACATACATATATGTAATATTTTAGAGCATAATTAATAGCACATCATATAAGGTTCCTCTGCTTAATACCGTTACGAAAATCCGATTTAAAAAAAGTAATAAAATGAGCCCTAGTTATTGTTCAAATCGTGGTAACATTACCCTACCATATATGACCATTTTTGTGGTTACTTTCTGGAAATGCTCATGTGGAGTCGGCACATATTTGAACTTTCATGGAGACCAAAGGTGAAATGCTCCGAGCTTTACAATTTTTAACTATCTAGATCAATTTTCTCCCCAAATAAAAAGTTTGGGATATATTATGTATTGAAAACTCAAAACTGTATGTCAAATTTCCTATTTTTTTTATAGGTGGTTGTGGCAATATTCACCAATCATTTGATGCGGTGTTGGAAACAATCACAACCAAAAAAAAACATCTAATTAAAATTTAAAACTATAATGCTTGCTTGGACTCCTAGTAGTAAAAGTGTCTTGATTAACTTAATGCTGCAAGTGTATTGCAGGATTATTTTGCTTAGTTTAATTTACATATTTTAGATTTTGCCTAGTAAATGCAACTAGGATTAGCTCTAGTACTATTCAATTGCCCTTGTTCGCCAACAAGCCAGGGCTATAGTACTAGGATATGTGGATAAATACGTTGAGGAACTTTTTAACTTTTCCTAGTAATTACTAATTAGTAGTGATGGGAATCGGCTGGAATTTCATAATTGATTATCGGTTTCCCTTAACCGATCGATAATCGATTATAATCGGATAATCGGTTAATAATAGCATAGATTTAATTTAATCTTACTTTGTATATACAATTATACATAGCATTCAATATTATCATGTTTTATGATCATGTATTAACGCTGTGAAGGTTGCTGTATGACATGTATATCAA